TGCACACTATCTGACCCACTGGCTCCTTCAGCTCTGTAAAACACAAATGACACATACAGAGCTTGTTAAAATGCTCTCCACTATATGACCAGAGCTGCTATTAAAATTTCACACAAATTATTCCTGAACAAACAAGTTCTAACAAATAAATTGTTGATATTAAATTGTTAGTATTTATGTATTTTAATACAAAAAATGTATATGACAGAACTAGTAGAAGCCAACAAAAAAGGAATGCCACTGTAAACCTCTCTCTAATCTGCATTACCTTTGACAGGGGTGAGAGAGGGCCGCAAGTTGTCCAAGTGATGGAAGAAGAACTTGTCTAAGCTGGAGTTGAGTGTAACAGGTACACCAGGTACCTCTCCGTTTGACTTACTGCGCACCCGCTTTGGAGGATGGGGCTTCTTGAACAGCTAAAAGAAACGAAACAAAGAGGTTAAACTGGATACCGAGCAAAACACACACTAGAGTGTACTGCAGTGGTCCCAAAAGGGATTTAGACACCTAGGTAACACAATTTCATTACATTAAATACAAATAACAAAACAAATGGCATCAGCAAAAAAAAAGAGGCTAGAGCTTTTTTCAGAACTGACTTTCCTTTCAATGACTTTTAACCAGCTGGGGTCAAGGTGATTTTTAGTAGAAATATGAAGTCAGTTCCTCTCAAGTGTGCACAGGTAACCACTGACGTAGTTCATTTTCAATAATGAAATTGCAAACCTGTTTTGGGATCTGGCCAAAGTTGTTGATGAATCCAATGGTAGCTGTTTCTTTAAGTGGGTCATTAATGTTGTAGATGTCCACCTGACCCTCATAGAAGAGATGGTGGAAGACATTGACTGCTTCCACCGCTGGAGGACCCTGCTGCTTGTATCCAAATATCAGGTCGATCCATTCATGCAGATGGGCGCTGACATAGTCACACTCCAAAGCCTGAAAAAAAAAACACACAGTCCCTAAAGGTTATGAACCTGTTTCTGAAAGTGGCCTTATTCTCTGACATTTACGACAATGAAGCGATAACACACAGAGCTTCTGGCTTCATCAGGAGATGATGTATTTTGATGCCAATTACCTCTCTGTGAACTCTGATGAACTCTCTCGGGTCTCCTTTTGCCCACGGAGGCAGAATC